AATGTGAGACCCCTGGGTCACGGTCACCACCACCAGATGGACTTTGGACTTCTCAGCCTCAGAAACTGTAAGCAATAAATTTCATTTTCTTTATAAATCACCCAGTTCCGTGTATTCTGTTATAAGCAACACAAAACGGACTAATACAGTAACTTTTTGAAGTTAGGGGCAAATGCTCTGCTTGAAATAGAAAAGAAATAAAATCTAAAAGGTTCATTGGGCTACTTGTGCCTGAGCAGCACTGCCACTTGGTCCCTGGCTGTTCTCATGAAGAGTTAAAGTCAGTCCCGTAACCAGCTCTCTGGGGAAGCTTTGGCTTTGACCTTGCCTAAGTTCTCAAGCAGGGTTGCTGTCCCACCCGGTTAGAGAGGTAGCCCCACTTGCTCAGCAACCTGCCAGCTACCACTGCCCCCTCCATCCCCACTCTCCTTCCAGGTATTGGTGGATTGGCCAGGGTGGGTGAGGGGCTGAGACCCTTTACTGCCCACTGCTCTGGGGAATCCTTGCCTTTCCTTCTTGCTGGACCTAGGGAGGATGTACATAAAACTTGGCCCGCCTGTTTTCTATGTCAACATTCATTCTTTTGAAACAAAAAGGAGGTTTTCTCAGTTCCAGCTCAGAACTAGAAATTTTGGTTTTTAATCAGCAGATACTCCCCCACATCTGTGTTCTTAGCCCCGGATAGAAGCTGCTTCCCTCCCCTGTCCAAGAATCTAATTTGACTCACTCACATATTTTCCAGGATTTTCCATGTGTTAAACTGTTTTGGAGGCCCCGGGGAACACAGAGATAAATCTGGCACAGCCCTGCCCTCAGAAGTTCACAGGCCAGTGGAAGAACCAGTCACATACACTCTATCACCAGGAGAAGTTGGACAGTGATAAGTGTCATAACAGCTACCACAAAGGGCTTTAGAGAGGGGACAACTGATAGCCTCTTGGTTAGTCCTAGAAGGTTTCAGAGAAAAATTGATGTGTGATCCAGCCTTGAAAGATGAGTAAAATATCAACCAGGTAGAGGCGAGAGAAGAGGGCACACCAGGGAAGTGGAAGGGCAGGAGTTGAGGCAGGAAACAGAGAACGTGCATGATCCTTTGGAGAACAGGGGGTGTGGGGAGGAGGAACTTAAAGTTCAAGGTCAGGGAAGAGGAATAATGAGAGATGAAAGTCTAAGGAAGGTCAGAAAGTCAAGAGCTCCGAGAGCTCTCCACAACCTTGGGACATTGCTCTTCAGGCACTAGGAAGCCATGTGTGCTCTTGAGCAAAAGAGCAACCTGATCTTGTCTTTTTAGAAAGAGCTCACTCATGTCAGCATGGGGGATAGATTATAAGAAAAGGGAGTGGATGTAGAAAAACATCCATAAACCAGCAAATAACCTCAGGAAACATCTTCTTAGTCTCTATAGTAATGACATGTTTTGTGACATAGATTTTCTACTTTCCCCCACAAAGTGCATCCAAAAACTCTTTCAATATGTGATCATAGAAAACTCTCTGAACCTTTTTTTTTCGGAAAGACAGCTCACGAGAAATCTGAAAGACAGGTTGTGATTTGTATTTACCGTGTTTTTTTTTTTTTTTTAAACCAGGAGATTCAGGTTCAAGACGGTAGGTTGGGTATACATACGTATCTCCCCTTTCTGCCAAATCTCATTCAAGTGACAGAGGAAAAATAAATGTAAGAATAAGCTCATGGCTACATTGGAAAACAAGGAGGGATATCATTGATAAAAGATAATGGTTATTACCAAACAGCAAAGAATCAAAATATAGAAAGAAAAAAAAACCTTTCAGAAAAATGAGGAATAAATCTATTACCATAATGAGATACATTAACATACCTCTCTTACAAGTTATCTGATCAATTATACCCCCCAAAAGGGCTGGCTGGTTAGCTCAGTAGATTAGAGCACAGCCTTGTAAAACCAAGGTCAAGGGTTTGGATCCCCGTACTGGCCAGCTGCAAAAAAAAAAAAAAAAAAAAAAAACCCAAATGAACAGATATATCCCCCCAAAAGAGAGAGAACTCAATTATAATTAACTAACAAATATGATTCAGTAGGAATGTACAGGACTTCATGACCTACAAACAAAGCATTGTATATTTACAAGGACAGACCATGACGAGATCATAAAGAAAATCACACTAAATTCCAAAAAATAGGACATTAACAAAGTATACAGTAGTTGCCCCTTAGCCACAGGGGATACATTCCAAGGACCCCAGGGGATGCCTGACACCATGCATCCAACCCGATTCCGTCACTTGGGACATGTTTCTGTTCATGTCTTCCACCCACACATTAAATGCCTTTTTCATCTTAACTAGGCACTTATCATGCACTGTGGCCATAACTTTTGCAGTTTGAGGTGTGGGTGCAAAACTAGCATGAATTTTTTTTTCCTTCACAATTTCACAAACAGAAGATTTGTTCTTACCATAGATCTTAGCAAACTCAGCAAATGATTTTTTCTTTCCCTATTAAGTCGAGAATTTTCACCTTTCACTTAAAGGAAGCACTTTACAGTTTCTCTTTGGCATATCTGAATTGCCAGAGGTGATTCATGTCCTAGGCAGAATGGCACGAGATTTCATCACACTCCTCAGAGCAACATGCAATTGAAAACTTATGCATTGTTTATTTCTGGAATCCTCCATTTAATGTTTTAGGACCATTGTTACCACAGGTAACTGAAATCTTGGAAAGTGAAACTGCTGATAAGGGGCTACTGCATTCTTGGGCCACAATACCATAAAACTAGAAATAGTTAACAAAAGAACAATAACAAATAACTAAACATACAAAAAAAAAACTTCAAAAGCACTGTTCAAATGTAACTAAAGAGCAATATTACAGATTAATGGAAAATTAAAAACACAAAGATCACTGTATATAAAATCCCATGAGATAAGGACCAAAGCAAAACTCCAAGAAAAACTGATCAACCAAAATGCTTTTACTGTTAAACAAGAAAGAATGGAAATAAATCAGCCAAGCTTTCAATTAAATATGTTAGATAACAAACTATAATTTTTTTAAAGGTAGAATGAACGATTTAATCTTTGCAGCTTAAAGCAAAAAAAATAATGAATTAAAAAGAAAAAACTTTAGGGCCGGCCCGGTGGCGCACTGGAGAGTGTGCCGCTTGGGAGCGCAGCGGCGCTCCCGCCGAGGATTCGGATCCCATGTGGAGACCGGTTCCCGCTCACTGGCTGAGCGCCGGTGTGGGCGCAACACCAAGGGTTGCGATCCCGTTGCCGGTCCCCGGTATGGGCACAACACCGAGGGTTGTGATCCCGTTACCGGTCAGTAAAAAAGACAAAAAGGAAAAAATAAAAAAAAAAACTTTATGGAACAGAACAAACTAAAAACTAGTTATTTGAAATTTCTGATAAAATGTACAAACATCTGGTAAGACTGCAAAGAATGAAAGAAAGGAAACAAATACAAGGGTAATTCAAAAAGTTCATGGAAAGATTCATATTATTTTTCAATTTTATTTTTCCACAAAATTTTTGAACTACCTATGTACTCAATGTTTTAAAAAAGTGAGTAGAGATATAAAAGAGATTTAATGTTACTAGAAAATACTAGATACATGTTGACAATAAATTTGGAATAATAATTTTCTTATAAAATAAAAATTCCAAACTTGATTCACAGTGAAGCAAGAATCTGAGAAGATCAGGGAAGCATTTTCTTAAATGATTAGATTGTTTTAAAAAAAAAAAAAAAACAATGAAAATGGCGCCAATGTCAAAGGCTTTATAAGGAATGTCTATTAAACATCCAAGAAACGAATGCACCCTATGTCGTTTACGTTGTCATTGGCGGGTCAGGTAGCTGCATCTAGCCACAGGCTGAGCCCTGACTCTGGCCTCCATCTGGATCTTAATCCCGGCCACCAAAAGAGCCCTGCTCTATCCACAGACAGAGAGCCCCGTGATGTGCCCCAACCCCTTGTAACCCCCGCAGGCTATGTCACATATGTGAGAGCACAGGTTGCTCTGCATGGTCCATGTTCTTTGCTTTGAGAGCTAGCTCCCCTGTCTTGGGAAAAGGGACAGGCCAGGAGCATTGCCCTTATATACAAAAGACAATGTATTAGATAGAAGCTAAGCATTTTTCTTCTCAAATTGGGAGGAGAGCAGACCTGGCATCTTGATTTTATTTTTAGGATATTTTCTGTAAAAGAGGGGGACAAGGGGGAAAGACCAACTGTCACCCTCTTCTATTTTGCTAGCATTAACCTCAGCCAGCTGGAGAGATAATCCATCAAGCAACAGGCAACCAGTTAACCCAACAGCACATATGTACTTAACACCTGTGGGTTGGAGCCCTGCTTCCAGCTCTTTGGGAATGGACAGCCAAGTTGGAACCCTGCTTTAGAGGAGTTTCAGTGAATTCGGGCAGAGCAGTGCAGGATACAGATGTAGTTAAGAAAGCCTGTAACCACAGGGTGGGTGTTCAAGGGGACGACCAGAGCACTGGAATGGAGCGGTCAGTGGAGGCTGCAGGGTGCAATTGCTAAGCTGACCTTGACCCAGGTAGATAAACACATTGACCATAGTGAGCCCTGTTGGTTCACAGCTCTGTGGATACCATGGGCTTGTGGACTGTGGTGCTTGCTAGCGGAGGCCTCGGGGCATTTGTATGGAGCCGCTTGCCCTCACTGCTTTCTAGTGACCACTGTGCCCTTCCAATGTCAGTGCCTTTGCAATGCTTTGCAAGGGTTTATACCTTCTTTTGGGGCACCCCCCCCCACTCCTCTGTTGATGATATTCTTTCCCCAAATGATTTTTCTAAAATAGATTTGACCATGTCATTCTCCTCCTTAAAAGCCTTCCATGAATCCCAGTTGGGTTTAGAGTAAATCAGATCTCTTTACCTTTGTTCTCTCTGCCATCCTGCCCTCCATCCTCACCCCCCACACACACACACCCCACCCCCACACTCCCCATATACTTTGACATAAAAATGCTCTTGTGTTTCTCCTCACCTTTAGGTTGTTCTTCTGTCTGGAGCACCCTGGAGCATCTTTCCCCCGGGCTTCTGGTTAATCCTTGTCCCCATGGTCAGCAGTGATGGTCTTCTCCCAGGCCACATGCTCTGAAATTTCCAGGCCTTTGCATGTACCATTGCCTTTCCAGGGAGCCAGTGCCCTCTTTTTTTCCCCTCTTGCTCATGGCCCCCACACTTGCTTGTCATCTGGCAAACATACTCTCCTCTCTCAAGCCCCAGCTGACATGCCACCTTCTCTGTGACTGTGTCTGACTCCTTACATCCTCTTTCTCTCATCTCACACTAAATTTTGGACATATCTATAAAACAGAAACTTTTTAAAAATTAAAAATTAAATTGACTAATTTTTTCCTTTACCCAGCATCCTCTTTTTGGTACTCTGTTCTATAAAAGTAAGATGCCAGTACTTAAGGATAGTAGAACAAGAACTTGTTCCCTTCAAT